AATTTAAAATTCTTTCAGAAAATCAGTACGGGTTCCAAAAGCAATATAGCACTAAACTCGCCTTAGCTGATCTCACAGCTGAAATCTCAAAAAGAATTGATGAAGGTTTTGTCACACTTGGTGCTTTTATAGATTTGAGAAAAGCTTTCGATACCATTGATCACAGTATTTTGCTAGCTAAACTACAACAATATGGGATTAGAGGGACAACTTTGAACTGGTTTAAAACTTTTTTGGACGGTCGGCAACAATATGTCAGTACTAAAAACAATGATTCTGACTGTGAAACTATTTCCACAGGGGTACCACAAGGGTCAATCGTAGGCCCTCTCCTTTTTTAGTTTATATTAATGACATTTCTCGATCATCCCCCCTTTTTTCATTCAGACTATTTGCTGATGACGCCAGTCTATTTTATTCCGTAAAAGACCGTTCTGTAAACCTTCACACACTCAATATTGAATTAAATAAAGTTGCTATCTGGTGTAAATCAAATAAATTAACTATAACCATTGACAAAACAAATTTCATGATTTTTCAGACAGCTCAAAGAAAAACAACTATTGAGGGCGTATTGTCAATTGATGATTTGTCATTAAGAATGGTGTCGTCAGCTGTTTATTTAGGTGTCACGCTTGACTCAACACTTTGTTGGAGACCCCATATCGATAACATTGTTAAAAAATCAGTAAAACAATTGGGACAATCTCATACTTGAGGCATTATTTACCAAAATCCATTATGATATTACTTTACAACTCGTTGATTCTCCCACACATTGCTTATTGTATAGAAATATGGGGACACATGTACACTTTTAGCACATATATTGATCCAATTTTTAAATTACAAAAAAAGTTTGTCAGATTAATTTCTTTCTCTCATTTTCGAGCAAGTACCACACCACTTTTCCTGCAATTTGGCATTCTTGATGTGTATAAATTATGTAAGTACAATACATGTTTATTTGCATACGATTTGAAAAATGGCCGCCATGCACACTCTCTGGATCATTACGCCTAATCAATATCACATCCATACCATACATGATCAGTAACCTCTGAGAAACTTGCCACACCACAAATTAATTTAAGTTCAACTAAGAAAAGTCTGACATTTTCTCTTGTAAACATTGGAATGAGCTCCCGACTTCGTTAAAACATTAACTTTACGAAACTCGTTCAAACGGCATTAACAATATCTTTCAACTAATGTATAAATAC